ATTTTATATCGCTAAAATTATTGAAATGACAGAGACTGAATTAGTTGTAAGTACACTGAGAAAGCATGCATCCAACAAATCTGTGTTCTTCAGTTTTCCGAATATTCTGGATGAGTCTGTAATAAACAGACAACAGATTGTCCGACGTGTTATTTTGAAGTCTCTGAAGCGCGGCAAATATTATTTCTCGCTTGGAGAAGAACTGGAAACGCTCCAGTAGAATTTTTTGCGTTCTATTGTTTTTTTTTGAATATTGTTTTTTAGTTTAATTTTTTGTTTTTTATTTTTAAGTTTAATTTGTCTATGAACGGTTTGTTTCATCACGAAATCAACGGCTGTGTTAATCCTGTTCATAGAATAAACGTTTATTTTTTCTCAATATATGCGTTTTATTGCAAAATTTTTCTGAAAATGTCGTTTAATATATATATTTTTTATTTTTCAATGATCGACTACACCTCCAAACGGGCCTGAAGTGAGAAATATGCATTTTAAAAGGGGTGATCGACTTCACCCCGAACCATGGGGTGAAGTCGATCACCCTTTGATTAAAAATAAAAAAAAACTGCTCCATCTACGACCTTTTTTTAGTAACCAATCGACAACCTAAGCATCAAGGATGTTACATTTTTAATTGCGTCAAAATATAATCATTAGTTTTTCAGTTATCTCAAAAAAACGCATTTTTTTGATCGACTCCACCCCGTTTGACATCGTATTTTATTTAGTTATTCGCGAATAGGTGACTTCGTTTACTTCGAGGATTCTAGAGAACCGAGTTGAATAGTTTTAAATTTAATACTCTGAGACGAACACTATAACGTCATCACTAGCTTCGGTATTTACTGTGGGTATTTCTGCGAACAGTGCAGAAAAATTATAATAAAAAACGGCATGTGAAATCTTTGTTATCAGTGTCGTTATTATCAGAAAACTGCCGTGTTCCGTTCAAAATGCAGAGAACGGTCTAGGACAAGTCATCGCCGCCGACTCATCGCGGCCGACTAAGCGCGGCCGGTTCATCGCCGAGCCGTGTCATCGCCGGCCAACTCATCGCCGCCCAACTCATCGCCGAAAGTGTCGGTTTCTTGGCTATTGCATCCACTATGCCATAACCACACGACAAGGCAACGAAATAAAAGAATGTATGGGCAGTAAGTCCTATCTATTTATTAATTCGGCATTGAAAAGGTTACATCAACAACAAAAATCCCTTAACCAGTATAAAAGCGTATAACTAAATAATGGCAATGATTATACATAGCATCGAAAATTTAGTACAAAGTTAAAGAATTCCTCTGATACACAATGATAATTAATGATACTAGAAAGTATGACATCAAAATTTTTGTTTAATCAATACGAATGAGTTATTGATGAGACTAATCAGGTTGTTGATTACCAAGTTGAAAAATCCCTCTGATCCAAAATGATAATTAATGAAACTAGAAAGTAAGACATCAACATTTTTATTAATCACATGCTAACATTAATGAGGTATTGATGAAATTAATTAGGTTGTAGTGGATATAAGAACCCTTCTCAAAATTACAGTTTGGTAGTTTATTCTCATTCCTTGGCGATTAAGGCATATTTGATAGTGTCATGGAAGCGGAAATTGTGAGCCAACGGGGCCGCGAAAAGTTTAATTACGAAGGTCATTTGTATATTTTTGATAAGCGTAGCAAGTGCAACGTTGGTGTCAAATTTTGGCGGTGTGATCAGATGGGTCGCTGCAAAGCAAGACTGCATACCCAGAACGGAGAAGTCATAAAGCAACTAAATGATCATTCTCACGACTCTTCGTCAGTTGGTGTGGAAGTTGCAACTGTGATAACAACTATTAAACGTCGTGCTGAATCAACTGTTGAAAACACGGTTCAAGTTATCAACCAGTGTATAGGAAATTTATCACAAGCTGGGCAAGCCGCTATTCCCAATACTGCAGCGTTAAGAAAAGTAATTCGCCGAAAAAGAAATGAAATTCATAATGCACCACTGGATCCTGCTGTTTTAGGAGATCTTGTGATACCGGATGCTTACAAAGTATACCGTTCTGAAGGTGCAGTGGAAGAAAATTTCTTACTACATGATAGTGGCCGTAACGACAACAACAGAATTTTAATCTTCGGTAGAGAGACTTGGATCCAATACCTACAATCGTCACAAACATGGTTTGTCGATGGAACTTTTTCAATTGCACCAAGATTGTTTGCGCAAGTCTACGTCATTATGGCAAAAAAACTTAGAGGAGTGCATCCCATTCTATATGCACTTTTACCTAACAAGCAACGTGCAACTTACGTGCAAATGTTTGAAGCGATAAAGAACTTATCACCAAACTTACATCCCAACTCAGTCAGCTGCGATTTTGAGTCGGCAGCAATTTCTGCAATTTCGGAATGCTTCCCTGACACTGCTATAAGAGGTTGCTTCTTTCATTTAGCAAAGAATATGAAAAAACATTTGACTGACATGGGATTTGTGGCACTCTATAACAACGATGCCGAATTTGCTTTAAAAGCAAAAATGGTGATTTCTTTGGTCTTCGTACCATTGGACGATCTCGACGGATTTGTGGAAGAGCTTGGGCAAGAGTTACCTCAAGAATTACAACCTCTGTTGGACTGGTTCGAGGATAATTACATTGGTCGTCTTAACAGACGTGGCAATGGGAGACGGCGACCTTTGTTTCCGCCAGAAACTTGGAATCTGTACGATAGAGTATTAAACGATCAAGACCGCACGAACAATCATGTTGAAGCTGCACATCGCCGTATACAGACGGAATTGGGAGTACATCATCCAACAACGTGGAAGTTCATTGATGGTTTGCGGAAGGTCCAGAAAAATCGTGATACATATTATGAACAACTAGTGGCAGGAAACAGCGCACCTCCCAAATTGAGGAAATATTTCAATTTCAATTTCATTTATTATTTACCACGTTACATGTCTGGTAGATGTGTTTGTGGCACGTCAAGCATAACATATAAAAGTAACATACAAAGTAACATACAACATAAATATACATTATACGATAAAATTATTTTACATTTAACATATATACATAAATAATATTTTAGGTAGGTACATAGGTACATGTAAGCGTACAAAGTTTATACTATGTCTCTTGGTGATATTTGTGTGCTTAAAAATTCATTGACTGAATATAACGCTTTGCTGGTAAGGAAACGCTTAACTTTGATTTTAAATTTTCTATTGTCGAGTGCTTTGATATTATCAGGCAGGTGGTTGTAGAGTTTCAAGTTCACTCCATTCATATCAGACATCTTGATGCGATGTCGGGGTAGTCGCAACGTCCCTTTGGAATGAGTGTTCCGACCCAATTACTAGATAGCGACGTCACCTTATGCAATGCAAAAACAAAACATCATATTATTATTAGAACAGAGACTGGACAACGAGGGCAAGACGAAGAATGTGTAAGCAATGGTACTTTCAATGGTTTACCGCCCAATACGATTCTGCATTTAAGCTTCATTCCTAGGTCTCGGTTATCTAAGGCAGGGTATTTGACGTGTATGTGCGACCACGGGAATATGTATGATAAGTATGCGACTGGTTCCATTTCTGAGGCTTCGACGAGGTGTCACTTTCGCACGAAGAGAGAGATGATAGCGTGGGTTAAGGGTAAGAAAGATGTGATTGGGTATAAGAGAAATGATAAATTGGAGTTCATTGGTCAACTGAAATCAATGGAGTTAGTAAGTCCAGTCTTAGAGACAGTGTATTTAGCGGTGAAATGTAGAAATGGTGATGTGCTCCCAGCTCATAGCGATGCATTAAAAAAAGATGGGACTTTAGAATACGTTGTGGTTCGGTTAGAATACCCCGTTAATAATTATTACGTTGTACATCCAAAACGGGCCGAATCCCGCATTCCCGCATGGCTGACGAAAGGATAAAATCAATTGTATCACAATACCACATCCGAGATAAAATTGAATATTTACGTGGCTTGGCACATAATTACCAGTTTTAGAAAGTCATTATATCCATACTTATTATTCGTAGTTTTTAAGTTTTTCGTGTCTTGCGTTTTAATAATATTGATTACCATAGTGGATCAGATTGTTATAATGTAAGCTTTAATAATGGTGAAAATATTGTTGTTGTTGTAACCTTTTCAATGCCGAATGAATAAATAGATAAGACTTACTGCCCATACATTCTTTTATTTCGTTGCCTTGTCGGGTGGTTATGGCATGGTGGATGCAATAACCAAGAAACCGACACTTTCGGCGATGAGTTGGGCGGCGATGGGTTGGCCGGCGATGAACCGGCCGCGCTTAGTCGGCCGCGATGAGTTGGCGGCGATGACTTGTCCCATTCCGGCAGAGAATTTGTAGCAATGATTGCAAGAGAGATTTTTATGGGCAGGAGTGTTTAAAAAATCACAAGGACACTGGGCTATGTGAAAAATTGCATAGATGTTTGAAGTACCTTAAAACCGCGCTGAAGTAAACGGTAAACATTGACGTGGTTGCTATTGCCCCACTTGTAGAGATGTAAAACCTATTGGACATCTTTGTTACATGCCTGTCAATCAAGGTCGTATAGTGGGTGTAAAAAATGTATAATTTTTTTTTATTAAGTAGGTTTTAAATTTTAAAATAAAAGCACCTCCTGTCAAAATAAGAAATTTTACAATTATTGTAATTCAGATTTTCAAATAAATCTTTAATTGTTAGAATTTTGTCAAGAGAGGGCAGGAGCAGTTCGTTTAAACATTTGACTGCGCAGAGATCCCTGACACTATTCTTGCCCCACTAATATGATAAGGTGTATATAAACAAGAACGCAGTCAAATAGGGAACCAGATCCCAGATCCTTCAGCTATAGAAGATCACCCGAGATCCGCACCTTTATTCTAAAACCGTTTCGATTGTTCTTTCTACAACCCTTAAATCCCTTACCAGTCCAGATTCAGCGTATGGTAGAGTTTATCACCGTCGCTGCATCAACCCCGCAAATCATAACCCGATTCCATTCGATCGCTTCAGCGTACAGTAGAGTCTATCACCGTCACTGTAGTCTTTCCGCAACCCCTATCTCTGTGCAACGTATGGTTCGAGTTAATCACTGTCGTGGTAGTTTATGTACCCTTACCGTAATTGATTCCTGTTAGCTCAACGTATGGTCGAGTTTATCACCGTCGTTGAAGTTACCACTCTACCAGTACATCTGTAACCCGAAGAACCTCTCCTTACTCGAATTTCGACTAGACAGTTTCCCCGTTTACGCTTCACGTATACCTCCGCCCTACACGAGGAAACCCTAACCTAAAAACCTGCCCTGTAGATCTAAAGTTCGTTCACCCAACAGAAATAGTTAAGCCCCTCCTCAACAATTACCGTCACATTTGAATACGACATTGTTATTGGTGTAATTTTTGAAGCCACAATCACACTTGTAAAGCGAATTGGCCGAATTGGGTAATCTGTCATCTTGCCTATTGCGTTTCTGCCGGTTTTTACGTTTTTACATCTTTACTTGCGTCAATTTGCCATTACTCTCCTTTATTCACACAAAATAGTCTTTATAAAGACTCGTCGGTGTATTCTAAAGATAGTCAGGTGAGTAATTATAAAGTTTTATACACGATTTTTACATGCCTGTTTTTAGGGTTATATTATTCGCGATCAAGAAAAGTTGTACGCAAACATGAATGTCGCCGGTGCTGCTTTCTCTCCACCGAAAAAACGTTTTGCCAAGCACTTTTCAGTTGAAGACAAAACTGGCATTTTAAATATCTTCAAGGCATATTCGGAAGACAACCCGGAGGTATCTAAAACGGATAAAGTTGAGTTTACGGCTAAAGCAGCAAGTAATTTTCATCTTAGGCACATTCATTTTTACTTATTATTGTGTAATTTAGGTGTAAGCATTCCGAGTGTCTACAAGATTCTTCGGGAGTATACAGAGGTACACGAACTTCATTCACCTAAAAAATATTATCGACCACGAGCAATTTTGGACAATATTGATTCCGGAACTAAAAGTATTCTTCGACGTTTGCTTCATTCTTTCTTTGAAAGAAATGAACCACCTACCCTGAGTAAAGTTTTGGCAGTGTTACACGAAGACGAAGACTTACCCCATTTGAAACGAACTACTTTATGGAAATTAATAAAAGAAATAGGTTTTCGGTCAGTAAACCTTTTTTCTTTACGTGTATGTATATTATGTACTTGTCATTGCAGATTCCAAAAGAGGTCACGCAATAGTGTTCTTAGGGAAAAGGACGAAATAATTACTTGGAGGCGTCGGTTCTTGCGTGAAATTAGAAAATATCGTGAAGAAGGTAGGAAGTTGTATTTCCTAGATGAAACTTGGGTGGGCATACTGTAAGCAAAGTATGGAAGGACACCACAATTCTCACTCCAAGAGAGGCATTTATCAACGGGCTATAAACTTGATTGAAAGATCCATCGGGCAAAGGAAATCGCCTTATTGTTATCCATATAGGGTCCGAGGATGGCTTCGTCTAGGAAGGTTTGCTGTGTTTTGAATCGAAGAAAACAGGGGATTACCACGAAGAAATGACCAGTGAAGTTTTTGAAAAGTGGTTTATGGAAATCGTTACACATCTTGATGAACAATCTGTGATTATAATGGACAACGCTTCATATCATAGCAGGAAAAGTGAAAAAATACCAAACACCAGTACGAAAAAAGCTGATATACAAACTTGGTTAACAAGCAAATCGATACCTTACGAAGAAGATATGGTAAGAGCTGAACTTCTGCAGCTTGTGAAACGGGCAGCTGTTACACCAAAATATGTAGTTGATGAAATTGCAAAGGAACACAATCGTACCGTGCTGCGATTGCCTCCATATCACTGCGAATTGAATCCAATTGAACTGATATGGGCGCAAATAAAAGGAGAAGTGGCCAGAAACAACACCACATTTAAAATGAAAGACCTTCATCCACTATTTCAACAAGCAGTGGAACATGTTACTGCTGAAAATTGGAAGAACGCAATTCGCCATGCTCAAAGTGAAGAGGAAAAAATGTGGCAAATTGACATTTTAATGGACATCGTAGTAGAGCCATTAGTAATTCATGTGGGAGATGACTCGACATCAACGGAGTCCGAATCCGAGTGAAGCGATACAGGATTTAAATTGTTATGTACCTTTGTTTATATTCAAGTGCACTTGTAATTTCAAAACTTTGTGCTGCTGTAATAATACTTTTTTGTACTTTTCTCAATATAAACGGTGTTTTTATGTTGCATATTTACATGTATTTAACAGTTTGCAGGTTTTACTATTTTTGCCACGAGTTATGTTCAGAGTGATAGCGCCATAATTAGTCTTGAGCAAGTGACATTTCAATTTGATTTTTCAAATTTTCCGCTTTTTATAATTTTGTGGTTGTAAAACTGGTTGCTGCTTACATTGGCCCAAATTTTGTAGGAGTGGCTTAACTATTTCTGTTGGGTGAACGAACTTTAGAACTTGGGCGAATATTTACCATAGCCCAGAGCTGCTTTCGGGTGTTGTGTTTATTGCACCCAGAGCGTCTGTCGGTACATATACGGAATATACATTCAACGAACATTTTAGACTATGCCGTGTAGATACAGCTTACCGATTGTTGTTGGTGAGAAATTGAACTAATTCTAGACGCATTCGATTATTTCGTTATTTTAGAGCAATTCGGAACCAGTAATTATGCTGCGCGTTCGACAAACAACATCTGCCGAAAAATCGATTTGACTGTGTTTATGATATTTGGCAAATACAGGTCCTTTCGACAAATTTCAGACCGTTTTGATGTTGCTCTTAGCACAGCTCACACTACAGTAGTAAACGTTGTAATACTCAAAGTGTTACACCCGAAAGGGCCTCAGGCAAAACTTATCGTTCATTGTAAATAATCACATCTCATTGTAAATAACCTTTCATTACACTAATTAAATCGATTCCCAGCAAATGCCGTACAGATAAAACCGTACAACCCGCCATTTGAAGGTTGACAGTTCCCATTCGGCTGCGTCTCTTACAGCGGTGTCCACAAGTTGGACCGACAGGAGCGGAGTTTGGAATAATTAACAAACTCTCTTATTTCAATACATGTAAGGTAACAATGTACCCGTGCCTTTATTTATGGAGCGTGTAAACGCTCCTTTACAAATGCACTACATTGACATCAATAGATGTCGCTAACTAATCATAAATGATAACCGTATTCTGTGATGATAACCTAACCAAGTGTCATTTCCACTTCCTAGTCGTATCCTAATCATGGGTGTATAAAAGGAGGATCCCTTGATTTTAGAAGACACTTCTTCCTGTCATTTGATGACCGAAAACCTGAATCCAGACCTGAAACTTATAATCATTCATCCGATTTCCCGTTTTCATTCGATACCGTTTCCGTTCCGCTTATATCCTTAACCCACCTGTCCCCCTGGACCCTAAACCTCGCCGTTCATTATAAATCATCCCGTCATTGCAAGACGAACCCTCAAACACCCGGAAGTTCGATACCTGTGGGGCCTGCGACCCGCATGTAGCCAGCTCCCGCTTGCTTGATTTAGTCTTAAGATTGTGAACATTAAGCGGAGGTAGTGGCCGTGTCACATCTTGCTTTTCGTTACAACAATATCGCCAGTCCCGTAGATCCGAAGTGAGTCAAAGTACAGAAACTGGGAACCGTGGGGCCTTCGACCCGCAGTCCTCAAGTTTGCGAACGTTGACTTTGTTTCAACCTCGAGAGTGGTGTACTGGGGTCGTGGCCGTGTCACATCCTGTGTACCACCTCGAGAATAAGTACCATACCGCACTGACGGGCCGAGTATTCGGAAGTGCTGGTGTCATTCACCTAAAATAGAACCCGGCGGTACCAATCATTCGCACCCCGATTAATCGATAGCTTACCAACTCCCGGAGAAAAACCCGCTAATCGATAAAATTACAGCTACCGTCCACATTAGCGTACAGCTGAACCGAGACGATCGAGCTCCATTTCGACCCCTAAGATCGCCGCCATTTTACCTGAACCTGAGGCAACGGGCAGAATCCTACCAGATCGACCACACAACCAGGGATACCAACTAAATTAATATTCCTGTATTCTGTGGTGTACATACACGGTGTCCCCAAATAAAAGAAAACGTGTGTAGATAAATTTTATTTAGAGACTCTGGGACACGACTGCAGCTACCCGCGTGCCCACCGAAAAACCCTTACATACATAGAAATTGTAAATAAAAGTTGTCATCTCATTGTACTGTACTGTGTCTACGCAACTCGCGTCTACGACTGGTGGTTACCCGAAACCCGCTACGTACCCAAATTATCCACAATACCAGGGCTAAACGTGGCGTTACAGACAAAACATGTACTTTATGCATGATGGAGCTCCAGCTCACTTTAGTTTGGTTGCTCGATATTTTCACAATGTACACACCTTTTTTTTTAAGATTTTCGACAAGAATATACAACAAGGCTACCAGACAAAGGATTTATATGGACAAAAAGATCAAGAAAATACTCACAAAGAAGACCACTACTCTGGAGGAAACCAGAAAAGAGCTACTGTTTATAACCAACACACCTTCCACTTTACGTATGATTTTGCCATCTACTAAAATCTGGATATGTGCAGCCATCTCTGTCTCATGTGCAGTTAAAACAGGAATTACTCAGTTCGATCCCTGGTCTGAACACAAGCTGACAGAGCCAATTGTTCGTACTTGTATGGTATGTTGCCATTCTTTTCGATTTAACAGATAAACAAGTAGAGAACACAGCAATTACACCCAAATTATGACCTATATTTCCAAAGACGGTTAGACCTGAGGAATATGGAACACACCTTCCACTTTACGCATGATTTTGCCATCTACTAAAATCTGCATATATGCAGCCATCTCTGTGTCTTATGTGCAGTTAAACCAGGAATTTACTCATTTCGATCCCTGGTCTGAACACAAGCTGACAGAGCCAATTGTTCGTACTTGTATGGTATGTTACCATTCTTTTCGATTTAGCAGACAAACAAACAGAGAACACAGCAATTACACCCAAATTATGACCTATATTTCCAAAGACGGTTAGACCTGAGAAATATGGAACACACCTTCCACTTTACGTATGATTTTGCCATCTACTAAAATCTGGATATGTGCAGGCATCTCTGTGTCTCATGTGCAGTTAAACCAGGAATTTACTCATTTCGATCCCTGGTCTGAACACAAGCTGACAGAGCCAATTGTTCGTACTTGTATGGTATGTTACCATTCTTTTCGATTTAGCAGACAAACAAACAGAGAACACAGCAATCCCACCCAAATTATGACCTATATTTCCAAAGACGGTTAGACCTGAGAAATATGGAACACACCTTCCACTTTACGTATGATTTTGCCATCTACTAAAATCTGGATATGTGCAGCCATCTCTGTCTCATGTGCAGTTAAACCAGGAATTACTCAGTTCGATCCCTGGTCTGAACACAAGCTGACAGAGCCAATTGTTCGTACTTGTATGGTATGTTACCATTCTTTTCGATTTAGCAGGCAAACAAGTAGAGAACACAGCAATTACACCCAAATTATGACCTATATTTCCAAAGACGGTTAGACCTGAGAAATATGGAACACACCTTCCACTTTACGTATGATTTTGCCATCTACTAAAATCTGGATATGTGCAGCCATCTCTGTCTCATGTGCAGTTAAACCAGGAATTACTCAGTTCGATCTCTGGTCTGAACACAAGCTGACAGAGCCAATTGTTCGTACTTGTATGGTATGTTGCCATTCTTTTCGATTTAGCAGGCAAACAAGTAGAAAACACAGCAATTACACCCAAATTATGACCTATATTTCCAAAGACGGTTAGACCTGAGGAATATGGAACACACCTTCCACTTTACGCATGATTTTGCCATCTACTAAAATCTGCATATGTGCAGCCATCTCTGTGTCTTATGTGCAGTTAAACCAGGAATTTACTCATTTCGATCCCTGGTCTGAACACAAGCTGACAGAGCCAATTGTTCGTACTTGTATGGTATGTTACCATTCTTTTCGATTTAGCAGACAAACAAACAGAGAACACAGCAATCCCACCCAAATTATGACCTATATTTCCAAAGACGGTTAGACCTGAGAAATATGGAACACACCTTCCACTTTACGTATGATTTTGCCATCTACTAAAATCTGCATATGTGCAGCCATCTCTGTGTCTTATGTGCAGTTAAACCAGGAATTTACTCATTTCGATCCCTGGTCTGAACACAAGCTGACAGAGCCAATTGTTCGTACTTGTATGGTATGTTACCATTCTTTTCGATTTAGCAGACAAACAAGTAGAAAACACAGCAATTACACCCAAATTATAACTTATTTT